AATTTCTAGAAAATGCATTATTTAATGATTTTTAATCCTGAACGAAAATCGGGGCGTTACACGGATCCTCCTCGGTCTCACGCGCCTCCACACGCGATACCTTGTCGGTGGAGCACACTCGCAGCTAGCCGAAGCAGCAGACAGTGCCCTCTTCCTCCAAGCTCCTCCTTGGTATTGCTCCCTCCACGTCTTGAACCAACGCTTGGCGATGCAAGGAGTGACATCGGTTGCAGCAGTAGTAGGAAACAAGGATGGAGCCGAGGGGAAGGGATAAAAGGAGAGAAGGCATGTGGTGCTTGATTCCTCGTAGCTAGCCATACCTCGCAGCCAGCCATGATACTTGATACCTCACAGGTACCAGGTATCAGGTTTAATACCTGTGGGTATCAGCCATGATACCATAGATATTAAGCATGGTACCTACAGGTACTGGGTCTGATACCTGGGTATCAGCGGTAATACCACATGTATCAAACTTGGTACCTATGGGGTACCGACTGTGGATGATACATCGCACAACATACTTGCACACACTCCGGCAATGAGCATGGTGGCTCGCCATCACGTCGCCGCGAATGAAAGCTCCATCACCATCAGCAAAGCGCCTTGAAGGATGAGGCCAAGAAACCCACGTTGGTCAGCATCCTTCTCGACAGCCTCCCTCCTTCCCTCCTTCCCCCTTCCGCCATGGGAGCTAGATCCAGTGGGTGTCCATGCCTCAAAAGATTGAGACGGAGGAGGAGGCAATATGACCTTGTAACCAACATGCACTCAGGGTAGAACCAGCAATGAGGAGGAGGGGGAGGGGATCCGTTTTCGGGGGGCCTGCTTCGCCATTGCCATGCCTTCATAGAGGAGCTCTCTGCAACAGAGAGGAGGGGAAGGGGAAAAGGAGGGCAAAATAGGAGAGGCGGAGGAGGAAGACGAAGACTCGGAGAGAGAAGGCAAATAGATAAGAACAAAGCGTTACCTACTTATTCCATTTCCACGGGATATGGTTGAGTAGTTTTTCTGTTTACATAGTACATCATGCCGAAACTCCTCATCCATTACTATAGTTGAAGATGCATGCTTAATTATTTCTATGTATGTATATATATATCCTCTTCACATATGTACATATCGGTCATCAGTTCCTTGCTCCAGCCTTTAATTTGGTCGCTAATAGTAACCGAAACACACGCTATTTACCAACTTGAGCAACACTAGAAATGGGAGGCATGTGGAATCCCATCAGCTGTGGCACCAATCGACGAAGTTTTAGTATAGCATCAGCTACTGAAGCTCTGGGAGCCGACACCGTGGGATTGTAACTCTTTTCCACCTCGTACTCGCAGCAGGAATCGATCAAACAGGAAAAAACTGGAATTCCTATTAGTACTTGAACCATGGATAGCTGCAGTAGCAGTTGTACTATATACTAATGTGCTAACATGTGTCTTGGCCGGTATCTCAGTATATATGGGGTTGAATTTCACTCGAGGCGTTGCTGCTAGTTGAATGTGAACTGCATTCTTCTAAAGTGACAGCTGCTGGTAATTGAGCTAATGGATCGACACTAGGGTTTTCAATTTTGATTTCATCCGAAATTTTGGTACTTTTTGGACCTTTTTTTTTTCTCAAAATTTTAGCATAATTTAACTGAATTTAACTAAATTTTGGCCAAATTTGCAAAAATTTGAGAAAACCGAAAATTTCGACTAAAATAATCGCTTGCCAGCAAGGGGGCCTGAAATTTTGAACTGAAATTGCAATCCCTGATCGACATGCCAAATACTTTCTGGAGGTAGGAGATGAACCGTATTGTTTAGAAAGTTCACATCAGTTTCAGAGAACATTGATGTGTGTGTGTGCGTTTGTATGTGTGGGTTGGGGGTAGGGGTGAGCGTTCGGTTTACTCGGTTAATTCAGCTCGGTTTCAACGGTTTAATAAATTTTGGTTTTCTATTGCAACCGAAGAATCTATATAAAAAAGAAAACCGAGCCGATTAAACGGAGTAACTTCGGTTCACTGAACAAACCGTTGGAACACGTTGCCATGAGGCCACAGCCGTGGCTTCGCACGATAACGTGATGATAATAAACAGGGCTTGAGACATGGGTAGCTTAGGAGATGTTGGGCCCCATTAAAGAGATGTTGGGCCTTAAAGCTTGCACGTTGCCTAATTTGTTGTGATACTGTGTACGTGTGGTTCGGTTTCTCCGGTTTTCTCGGGTTGTTCGGTTCGTGACAATTAAAAACCATAGAAATTAAAAGACCGTAGACCGATCAAACGCAAAACAGATGCCGAAGGGTAAACCGATGCCTAAAAAAACCGACACTTCGATTCGGTTCGGCTCGATTTTGTTCGGCTTGCGGTCTTCGGGTATTTTTTGCCCACCCCTAGTTGGGAGTGGGGGAGGAGGTGTTGTTGTTTTGTAAATATAAAACTACGTACACTCCCGTGAAAACTTACCAACTAAAAGAAAAAGCTATTTTCTGGTGAGTTATGTAGGTTCTATACCTCAGATCCTGATTTTCAAGATGGGGAAAAATGAACTTATATATGTTACCATATACTCCATGTAGTTATATTGTCTAAAAAAAGTGACCTTAGTAGCCTATAACAGAAAGAGTAAATTTCTCCTCGCAAAAAAAAGAGTAAATTTCACAAAATTATAGATATTTTGATCAAATTATTATAAAACTATAGATTTAACAATAAATTTATCCTAAAACTACAGGTTTAACTCTAAGTATCACAAAATTATATATTTAATAATTAAATTATCACAAAACTATATATTTTGGGGTTTAAATCCTTAGCACTAATATTATGGTTGAGTTATAAATGTTCAAGTTTTGTAATTAAATTGACACTAAACCTATAGCTAGTTTTGTGATACACCATTTTAAATATGTAGTTTTGTGATAATTTGGTCAATATATTTATAGTTTTGTTAAATTTACTCTAACCGAAAAGATAAACTTTTGAGCGGCTTACAATGAATTTTTTTTTTGAGAGGGCTTACAATGAATTGCCTCTACAACATCCATATACATCTGTAAATATATACCTGCTTCATAGTTTAGGCGTAATAACTTAATAGGCTTCTATGGTGTTACCCTTGCATAAATACCTTGTAAAAAACTTATGTTTCACTGGCATACAATGAATTGCCTGTAGAACAAGATTGGCGAAGATACAATGTAGTACAAAAGCAAGAGCTAGCTCCAAAACAAATGGTGGTACAAAAGTAGTACTACTGCATGTGGCTTATGCCGAGTTTAGTTCTCAACTTTTTATTTAAACTTTCAACTTTTTCATCATATTAAAATTTTCCTACACACATAAACTTTCAACTTTTTTCTTAAAACTTCTAATTTTAGTGTGGAACTAAACACAGCCTTAGTTATACCAATCTGCAGCAAGGACATTATTCTAGGTGTTCGATGTTACTCTAATATCAACTCCTACTTACTACTCATATAGGAGTATATCTGAAAGAGTTCATGGATGCATTTATATGTTTCATATACAAGGCTCTTTCAAAAAGAGGAGGTAAGCTTTTCTGTCAACAAGGTAGGCGTGTATGTACACACGATGAATGCTCGCACTACTATGCACGAAGCCACGAGCGTGCATACAAACATGGGAATGGAAGATCTAGGAATGTTGTTGTCGTGTCGGAATTGCAGGATTGCTGCTCGATGGACAGCTCAATGTTGGCTTGTTTTTGTTGAAGATTCTAGCAATTTTGTTCTAGATGGACTAGAGAATTGACATGTACATGATAACATAATATTTGCACCTAAACAAGTTTCTCCTTTGCAAAGTTGTATTGCCTTTTTGCCGAGAAAGCTGAAGGAACATTAATTTCTTTCTTTGCATTGGCACCGATAACAGCAGATGCAACATTTTCCTTTTGACGTAAAATAGATGCAAAGTTACGTGATAATATGTACAATTATTGAAAAATATGATAATATGCAAGAAATGTCAAATCATTATCTTCATAATATTTTTCAATTATTTAAACACATACATCTACAATTTCTATAATGTATAACGTGCATTCATCCATATATCTTGCAGCAAAGCTCGGGATATCAATTAGTTAGAGAAGCTCGGGATATCAACTAGTTAGAGAGACAACCGAGTACATGGATGGATGGCAAAGGTGGCTAATTTTAATGAAGTGTACAGCTTTGTTGGTGCCTCATTTTAATCTCTATCCATCTCTCATTACAAGATGCCTACCGAGTCTCATTTTAATCTCTATCCATCTCTCACTACAAGATGCCTACCGAGTTCTTATTGGATTGGGATCCTCTGCATTGAAAGAGAAAATGCAGAGATGCTACAGTACTGCAGATGACCTGCATCCCTTATACATCCTGTCTATGCAAACTAAACTATATATCCACATAGCAGTCAGAGTCAGTTTCTTGCTTGATCCTACAATCCATTTGCTAATGGAAATACCTAAAAAGGGAGCGGGAGATATCTAACTAATACTATTTATTAAGCTGACTCATGTTGGAAATAGGAGGCACGTGGAAACCTATCAACAGTCATACCATGGGACTAAGTTTTAGTAGCCTCGTCTACCACAGATTTTGGAGCGAGACCGTGGTGGGTAGACTGCTGGAGCCCTTGTTTGTGTTGCATTGGCAGTAATCTTCATAGAGGAAGAAGTTATGTAAATGTATTGCAATGACAGTAATCTTTATAGAGGAAGAAGTTATGTAAATGTACAAGAACCGTAAAATTTCTGGTAAACAATGGCCGCTGGTCACAACTGATCGTTGGCCACCTTCTCGCAACCGCAACTATTGCTCACTGCGTCACATATGATTAAGTGTGCAGAAGATATTTGATCTGGCACACAGGATCAGCACACGTCTTCGCATCATCATATACCTTTTGTTCTTCTGGACGAGGAGGCCATGCTAGTCGTTAAATATTTTCTTTTTATTTGGATAAATTTTCTTTTTATTTGGATAACTTAGTGTAACATAGTGGTAGAAATATAATATCTCTATTTATAAACAATCCATTATATAGATCACACCCATGACCCATCCAAACATGTGCGTAAAATACAATGTAGAATTCTAGTTATAAAACAGTCAAGTAGTTCTAAAGAAAATTTCTCCGAGTATCCAAGTTTTAGCCTAAGCACAACAAATTTCCACAACAATACAAAATAAATTTACAAGTACAAATCTTCAACAAATTCCTTGTGTACCACCGTTATTTTGCCGCATACTTTGTCACTCATTGTCTTTCTACCAGTTGTGACATCATGAGGTCTTTCAGTACTAGTACTACACATGGAATTGTCTATAGAACAGATTGGTGAAGATACGAGCTATTCCTCTCGTTAAAATATATGATATTTGATTTTTGACCATAAATTTTTTATTAGGATACGCTTATAGATAAGTTAAGTTTATGACTTTATGGAAGTGCTTGACAAAGCAAAACTGAGGTTGTGCTCACATATCATGGACTCATGGGTCATCTTAGGCTGAGGCATCAAGAATGGAGTAAAGCTCAAAGCAAGCAGACACTGTAATACGAAAGCTTATGCATCCATGAAAATGCTCATCATAATTTTGACCCTTAAATGTTCCATTATAGTAATTAAGCGATAATAGACATGGAATATAAGAAATAGAATAATCTAAGGTGTGCTTCTGCAGTGAAAGATGAAGTTATAACAAGGACAATAACAAGTGAGAATGTATAAAAGAATAATCCTTACATGCAACTGATTGCGAAGAAGCTCTGACTTTGTTTCCTGTTATATAAAAGGAAAAAAACATAAATATTTATGAATGTAATAATATGCTTATATCATTATATGCCACACCATGGTAGAATATTTTTTAAGAAACATATAAAAGGTGCTCAAAGCCTGTTCATTGAGGGCTTCTCTTAGTTTATTGATTAGGTTTATTCCAGCCATGTTGACACTTTCAAGTTGCTCAGCCTCAATGCACTGCTTTAGGACTGCTTCCTGCCATTGAAGGTCAGAAAACAACTATGATCTTTGCTGAATACCTATGAAATAGAAAAGGAGTAAGGTGTTATAAGTGCATAGATTATTTTGATCAAGAATTTAAGTAAAAGGCTGAAAGTATTATAGCATCAAAGTATCATATCTCTTCATATCCAGTCTCCAACTTTGTAAATAAAGAAAAAAAAGTAAATTCAGGTTTCAGATTATCAGAGCTAAGGAGCATTGTTAATAGGAAACTTTGCAGTGCAATATTGTTCTACACTGTAACTCATCAAAAAAACTTAGTCAGATTTGAAAATAGCAACAATCCATAATTATGGCATACATGCATGGTAGCACTATATTCAAGTAGATAATCCACAGCAATAATCCGGTAAATAATCTGTTCCAAACAGGAACTCATGCAAGGACAATGCATTAATTTGGTATTGAGTTGTTTTAGCCTGAGTAGCAACCGTAATATTACATTGCCAGCTGCCACTGAGTTCTTTATGTTGCCAGCAGGTCCTGAACTCCTGGACATTCTCTACATTTGCATAGAAATAATTCCATTGCAAAGTCTCCAATCAAGAAGGTTGAATGAATCTCTGCCTTCAACATGAACTCATACCATGTTTCTCAACTTTGCAGTTTGGCCTTGTGTAAAACTTTGGTTTTGGATCTCTATAATCAAACAATCAAGATGACAATGGTGACTCTCTGCACATTTCCTTCTTGCATACAGTCAAATACCATGAAACATCTCTATGGATTCCACAATGACAGTGTATTACACAGATATGTCCATTGTCAAGCAGTCAGTAACCCTTCATAAGAACACACCAGCAAATAAGGAAAATGAACACCTGTCCACAAAATGGTCGTTCAGACTTCAGCTTCCTTTGTCAGTTATTAATCATGTACAGAGTACTATTTTTGGCATAATCATGAAACATCAAAGTAACCATGTGTCATGGCACCTTCCGAAGATTCCCCAACCTCGGAATGATCGCAGATTCCATCATGAATTGGGTCAGGCTGGTCATTGCTTGGTGCTTGCTAACCTTAGTGAAGATTGATTGCACACACAGTCCTGCTGCAAATCACTCATCCCTTCAGTCATCTCCTGCACAGTCATCAGCCCATGTCTATCAAACCTATGTGGCTTCAGTAGGTCATCACTCCTTATTGGAACATCTCAATACCTGGTTTTTCACCTCCCTTCAGGTGATGAAATCAGTCAAAAACTCAAAACAATCCATGCTGGAGCAAGTTGACTTGGTCACCCTTCAGCAATCAGCACATCCAACAGCTCAATAGATCTCCTAAGCTTTCTCTCCCGGAACACAGACTCAATCAGCCTTGCCCAGCATCTAGCCTCTGGCATGAACCCAGTGTCCACCAGTCCATACAATGTGACTGTTGCATCTGATACCCTCCCAACATCACACAGACCAATCAACAGCATGTTTGATGCTGCATAGTGAGGTACAAATCCTCGTCCGAGCATCATGCCCAGCAAGCCAGCCGCTTTCTCCATCTCTCCACATGAGCACAGGCAATTCATCACAATCCGGTAGCTTGCGACATTCAGCTGTACTCCTTCGGACGGTAACTTCTCAAGCAAGGTCACTGCTTCCGCTATCCGTCTATCTTTGCACAACCCCTCAAGCAGCAGATTGTATGTGACAACATCAGCCTTACACCCTTTCTGCCACATCTCCTGCACAAGATTGATCCCCTCATCCACATTCCCATGCCGACAAAGGCATCCAACAAGTGAGGTATAGCTGACAGCATCCGGCTGAACCCCAGATCTAATCATCTCCTCAAATACCCCCCTCGCTGCCTCCACTTCCCCTTTCTTACAGTGCCCATTGATCAAAGTGGCATAGTTGAAGGCATTTGGCTCGCACTCATTCTTCCTCATAAATCCAAAGATCGATTGTGCTTTCTCCACCTGTCCTAGCCTGCAGAATCCACCGATGAGCAAATTGTATGTTAGCTGGTCTGGCACAATGCGGTCCTTCTCGATCATGTCCTCAAATAGTTCAAACGCTTCCTTCATCTGAGCCCCACGACAGAGCCCACCTATCAATGTTGAATAGGTGACTAAGCTTGGTCTAACATCAGCGCAGTTCATCTTACGCATTTCATCAAACACCTGGAAGGCTGTCCCCAAATCGCCTTTCTTGACGTAATGCTTGATGAGGATGTTGTAGATGCACGTGTTGGGCTGCGGAAGGTACTTGCTCCGGGGGTCGCGCAGGTCGGCCAGGAGCTCGGTGAGAACATCGGGGCAGCGGCGGGAGGAGACGAGGCGGTCGAGGCAGACGGCGAGGGCCTTGCGGGAGACGCGGCCCCGGCGGAGGAGCGCGGGGAGGAGGCGGAGGAGCGCGAGGGAGTGGTCGGGCGGGAGGAGGCGGAGGAGCGGGAGGAACTGCGGCTCGAGGAAGCGGCAGGGCGCGGAGGCGGCGCGGCGGAGGACGGCGGCGGCGGCGGAGGGGAGGCGAGAGCGGGCGAGGCGGACGAGGAGCGCGGCGAAGGTGGCCGGGGTGTGCGAGAAGCCGCGCTGCGCGGCGGCGGCGTTGAAGAGGTCGAGCGCGCGCTGCGCGGAGGGGGAGGAGGCGATGAGGCGGGCTAGGTCGGGGTGGTGGACGTACCGCAGCTGCGTGAGGGGCGCTTCGGGCAGCGGAGGCGGCGGCGGCGGCGGGGAGGGCGGCGCGGCGCGTGTGGGGCTTCGGTAGTGGAGCGGGGAGATCCACGGGAGCGGGGCTTTGGTGGAAGCGGGTGAGGGTTTCATGCTCCCCTGCGGCGGCGGATGCTGGGGAGGAAACAGGCTAGGGCGGCGGGCGGCAGGACGCCGTGGAATCGCGGCGCCGCCCTCGTGTGGTGTCTCGCGAGCGCAGCGCAGGCAGGGCGCCGGAGCGGAGCGGAGCAGGAGCAAGGCGAGTGTCCTCTGCCTTGGCTGGGCCGTTTGTCAAATCTTGGACGCTCTTTTTGTATGTTTGGATGGCCAGGATTTCTCTAGGCTTCACGGGAGTGGCTGTGTTCTTGCTGTGTTCTTCCCCCGTTTTCCGCGCGTACGCTTTTCAAACTACTAAACGGTGTGATTTATATAAAAACTTTCTATATAAAAGTTGTTTAAAAAAATCATGTTAATCTATTTTTTTAAAAAAAATAGTTAATACTTAATTAATCATGCAATAAAATGAACTTCGTTTTACGTGCCGGGGAAGAGGGGTTTCTTGTTGTAAATTTAGTCATAATTCGGCATATTTTAATCCAAAATATTAAGACAATAAACATGACATTTGCAATATGAGTAGATCTAGTGACAGTGCAAGATGTATACAACTTGAGTATGCTTGATATGAAATAAGTATCAACATTTACATAGTAACGCAATACTGCCATTGCGAAGAGTATTAACAAAGAAACATCTAATAGAATCGGGAGAATGAAAGTATACCCCGAGAACGTCCCACCGCTGGATTTTGAGGCAGTACTACCTCCGTTGATGTCGTTCATTATCTTGTCTCCAATCTCCGTCGACATCTTGGTGAAGGCGTCGATGCAGCAGCAGTAGCCGTGAAGAACAAGAGCAGTTCGTCCGCCTACCCGTGCAGGTTCTCAAGCGGATGGAGTTTCGGAGGCACCTGCTCGTCCCGTACACCTGTGCACGCAGGTGAACAGAATCGGGGAAGGATTTTGCAGCTCAGGAACAGAGGAGGAGGAACTCGAAGTGCAAGAGAGGCCGGGAAGAACTTCTCCCGTCCTTCTAGTCACTGCGGAGTATATAATATGCGAGTGCGAGAGTAACGTTCGGAGTCATCAACCACGGTGTTTAATTTCGTAACCGATGCGCTCGTTAATACGGAATCAATTCACGGCATTTAATTCCATAACCGACGGAATCAATTCACGGTGTTTAATTCTGTAACCGACGGAATCAATTCACGACGTTTACTTCCGTAACCGACGCGTTCATTGATACGAAATCAATTCTCCGTATTTATTACCGTCCGTTACAAAACGAGAGAGTGTAGCAAATGTCTGCCTCGCCTCGCCTCGCCTCGCCTCGCCCGCCTGGCTGTCCGCGCACCATCTCAACCGGTCAACAGAGACTAACTCCGTATTTAAGTTGAGACCTCTTCACCCGATTTCCAAGGTGGTATTATTACCCATAGCACTTAATGTGGGCCAATGGAATTTATTAGGATTTAATTGGGCTTAGCCCATTAATCTAACAATCCCCACCAAATTTCATGGCTCACAGGAAATGCTCTCGATTCTGATCTTGTTTGTTATACCAGTGTTTCGGTGGAGACTGTTAAGTTGAACTTCCTCCTAGGAAAAAAGCTACACCAGATTACAACTGAAAAATGGACTATACCTTGAATTGTCAGTCTTGTGCGATTCAGGTTTCACTCAAACCCTTAACTGGTACTAGGCTGCCGTTTGCATCCCCTCTGTTTGGAGCGTATAAGTCATACTCCCGGCCTTTTCATGAGTATCTAGAGATCAACCAGATCTCATAGACTGTGACTAGCAGTCGGACTCATATAGGTGTGTTCCTTCTAAGATGTTCTGTAGGCCAACATATCTGCTTTATGAAAAGCTACTCGGATTACATTAAGGTGTATACCATCCTACCATACAGATTAGAAGAGAAGTGCATCATGAAGATAAGCCCATTTTAGGGTCTCTTCTCTCAGTTACACAATAGTTTGTTTCGCCATCCAAATTCACGGGATCTCTGATCACAATAGACAGGTTTCCATTATTGTGCAACTCTAAGTGGGTCTCAAGCCCATCTCCCTCGATGCACAGTCTATCACATTACGTGGTAGCCCCTTGGTAAACTGATCTGCCAGATTTTTAGCCGTCTGGACATAGTCCAATGCTATCACTCCGGAGTTTTTCTGCTTTCTGACAGACTTCAGTCTTCTTTTAACATGCCTGGATGACTTCATGTTGTCCTTCGAACTGTTCACTTTAATAATCATTGTTTGATTATCACAGTTCATCAGGATTGCTGGTACTGGTTTTTCAACCATCGGCAAGTCCATCAGGAGCTCACGAAGCCATTCGGCCTCAACTGTGGCAGTATCTAAAACTGTGAGTTATGCTTCCATTGTAGACCTTGTTAAGATGGTCTGCTTGCAAGACTTACAGGAAACAGCGTCCCCTCCAAGTGTGAACACATACCCACTTGTGGCCTTTATCTCATCAGCATCAGATATCCAGTTTGAATCACTATAGCCCTCTAGTACTTTTGGGTACCCAGAGTAGTAAATTTCATAGCTCATTGTCCCTTTTAGATAGCGCATTACTCTTTCAAGAGCATGCCAATGATCATCTCCCGGATTTGAAACAAACCGGCTCAACTTGCTCACAGCAAATGAGATGTCAGGCCTTGTTGCACTAGCTAAGTACATCAATGAACCAATAATCTAGGAGTATCTCCATTGATCCCTTGCTATTCTTCGGTTTTTCCTTAATAGCACACTAGGATCATAAGGAGTAGGAGCTGCCTTGCAGTCACTATAACCAAAGCGACTCAGGACCTTGTCCACATAGTGAGATTGCACAAGTATAATCCCACCCTCATCTCCTCTCGGTAGTTTAATGTTAAGAATTACATCAGCTACTCCCAAATCCTTCATTTCAAAGCTTTTGGACAGAAAGTCCTTGACCTCCTCAATCACATTGAGTCTGGTCCCAAAGATCAATATGTCATCGACATATAAACACAAGATCACTCCCTCTCCCCCACCATAGCGATAGTACACACATTTGTCAGCTTCATTCACAACAAAGCCAGCAGATGTAAGTGTATTGTCAAACTTCTCATGCCATTGCTTAGGCGCTTGTTTGAGACCATACAAGGACTTCAACAGCTTGCACACCATTCCCTCTTGACCTTCTAGTACATACCCATCTGGTTGATCCATATAGATCTCCTCCTCCAACCCTCCATTGAGGAAAGCTGTCTTAACATCCATCTGATGGACGAGTAGACCATGAGAGGCTGCCAGAGTGAGTAGTACTCGAATCGTAGTCAAGCGAACAACCGGTGAATAAGTGTCAAAAAAGTCCTCGCCTTCTTTTTGGGTATAACCCTTGGCCACAAGCCTTGCTTTATACTTTTCGATTGTACCATCAGCCCTAAGCTTTTTCTTGAAAGCCCATTTGCATCTTACAGGCTTGCACCCATATGGACGCTCAATGACTTCCCAAGTACCATTAGACATAATTGAGTCCATCTCATTGCATACCGCTTCCTTCCAATAGTCAGCGTCAGGAGATGAATATACCTCTTCAATGGTTCTTGGAGTATCATCCACAAGATATACAATGTAGTCATCTCCAAAAAACTTTGCAGTCCTTTGTCTCTTACTCTTTCGAGTTGCTACAATGTTATCCTCCTCAGGATTTCCTCAAGCATTTGATCAATGTGTTCTATCGGTGCAAACTGCTCAGGGGATAAAATAGGTTCTTGACTAGAAGTGCTTGGTGCATTTTTCATAGGAAATTCATTCTCAAAAAATGTAGCATCTCTGGACTCAGTAATTGTACCAACACGCATGTCAGGTACTCCAGAATTTACTATTAAGAACCTATATCCCACACCGTGGATAGCATAACCAAAGAACACACAATCTACGGTCTTTGGTCCAAGTTTACGCTTTTTGGCTATAGGTACATTTACCTTGGCCAAACAGCCCCATGTGCGCTGGTGTGAGAGATTTAATTTCTTCCTTTCCCTTCCTCGAATGGTGTTACTTCCTTAAGCTTAGTAGGAATTCTATTCAGGACATGACACACAATCAATATTGCCTCACCCACCATTCCTTGGACAGTCCTGCAGTGTCTAACATGGCATTCACCATCTCAGTTAGAGTACGGTTCTTTCTTTCGGCTACCCCGTTTGACTGGGGTGAATAGGGGGGCATCCTCTCATGAATAATTCCATACTCTTTGCAGAAAGAAATAAACTCATTGGAAAAATACTCTCCACCCCTATCAGACCTCAACCTTTTGATTTTCCTTTCCAGTTGGTTTTCTACCTCAGCGTTATAGATCTTAAAGTAATGTAATGCTTCATCCTTTGTTTTCAATAGGTACACATAGCAGAATCTAGTGCAATCATCTATCAGTGTCATGAAATATTTCTTTCCCCCTTTACTTAACACGTTATTAATTTCGCATAGATCGGAATGAACAAGTTCTAGTGGTGCCAAATTCCTCGCCTCGATGCCTTATGAGGCTTGCGAGGTTGTTTCAATTGAACACAAGTATGGCACTTAGAGCGTTTGACTAAACTGAATTTTGGAATTAAACTCATGTTGGCTAAGCGTGTCATACAACCAAAATTCACAAAATTCACATGACAAAGTCGCGAATGCCACACATTGGACTCATCATCATCATCGCCTACATGGTTCACAACTTTATTACATATATCATCCAAGGAAAAGCGGAACAAGCCTCCGCTGTCATAACCTTTTCCAATAAACATTCCATATTTAGATACGACACATTTATTGGATTCAAACACAAGTCTAAAACCATCTCTACACAGTACAGAGCCGCTAACTAGATTCTTCTTTATTGAAGGGACATGCTGCATGTTCTTCAGCTGCACGATCTTTCCCGAAGTAAACTTCAGATCGACCATACCAACACCATGAATAGCCGCAAGCGATCCATTTCCCATCAACAAGGAGGAACCTCTCCCGACCTGATAAGAAGAAACAGAGAAATGCCAGCACACACATGAATATTAGCACCAGTATCAACCCACCAATCAGGTGAGTGACAGACAGAGAGAACTATAGGTAAAAATTTACCATACCTCGATGTTCCTCCGCCCTCACTAATAACCATGTTTGTAGACTTCTTGTTCTTGCGCTTAGGACAATCCTTGGACCAATGCCCAGGCTTGCCACACACAAAGCAATCTCCTTTTACCTTTCCCTTGCCTTTCTTCTTAAAATTGGTTGTAGCCTTGGGTTTGACGTCAGGTTTGACTTTCTTGTTGTTGTTGTGGGATGCGTGAGGGTT